AATATTAGCATGGGTTAACTCTAGTTTTTTTTACATATATTTCTTTTAATTATTCTCTTGCCTATTTCATCATCTATTATTATATTTTTTGAGAATTTAACTTCATTAATGTTTTTTAGTTTTTTTATATAGGATTATCGAGGTCTCATGTTTAAGGTTGCAGGTTTTATATGTTAACTCATATTTACTTGAGTTTTTGTTTTTTCATCATTTTTTTTTACATTAAAGTTTTTTGTTTCCATCTTTGTCTAAGAGTGGTTTGACTCACTAAACAAATCTCTTTTTGAATAGGCTGAACATTAAGGGTCAAGAGCATACCTTGCCTATTTTGTTTTGATTTTTTTTTCAATTACAATTGCGTCCTTCCGTGCTTAACTTGCTTATAATTTAGCTACGTTGTTCCTTTTTTTAAAAAAAAATTGTCCTCACATTATTGTCCTTTTTTTATTTTTACTATTGTTGCCTTTTTTAATCATTTTATTAAAATTAATACAACATGTTTAACATATTTAGCTTGATCAGGTTTTTGAATCATGGTGCGGATGTTTTCCCTCTTCTTTATGACATAGTAATTAATACAACATGTTTAACATATTTAGCTTGATCAGGTTTTTGAATCATGGTGCGGATGTTTTCCCTCTTCTTTATGACATAGTAATTAATACAACATGTTTAACATATTTAGCTTGATCAGGTTTTTGAATCATGGTGCGGATGTTTTCCCTCTTCTTTATGACATAGTTGCGATGAATGAACCTTATTTTCTTATGCTAAAAACAATTATTAACTAACTCACAGCAAAGCGTGAGTTATACAACTAGTTTGAGTTTAAATATTGTTTAAATAAATTCTTATAAGAGAAATCTTTGGTGAGAATTCGTTTCCTACTGTTAACAAATTTTGCTTGAATTGATCAAAATTCATGTGAATTTGGTGTCCTTGATAAGAATGTTTTAAGAAAATTTGACCTAGTTTATCCTTTTACTCTTGATAGAATAGTAAAATCAAACAATAACAAATATGCATGCTTAGCCCAATCTTTTGTGCTCATTTATATATATTTCTTATACATATACGTATCAAATAAGTCTTAAGCTTGAGAGGAAGAAATATATGTCATCTTGTAAAAGTTCAATTCTTTCTTAGATCCAAACAGAGACAAATAAAAAAAAAGAGATCACAACTAGAATAAAGAAACTATGTGGAGATAAAGAGTCTAAAAGAAGAGGTTGTTATGCTTACTAGCCTGTTAAGCAAGCACTATAAGCTATACATTCACGGGAAGAGACCTCTAACCAGAGGCGAACTTAGATATAAATGCCACTTCACCGTATTTTCCAACCAATGCCATAAATACCACTAGGGTCATTTGCCCCCCACCCTCCCCTCTAGAGGGTATCAAACACTTTTCTAGAATTCAAATTAATAATGTGTTTTCCATTCATAAATGTACCATAAACACTTTATGCTCATATTGCTTTGACCATTAACCTCTCACTGGATATAGCTAGAGGGTTAAGATGGAAAAAGAACTTAACTTTGAGAAATTATCTACAATGAAACAAACTACTTTAAAAAAATTAAAAACGTATACCTTTATGGCCTAATAAAGGTAGCTAAAATGGACATTATGATTGATATTATGATACCAAAAAAGTTTAAGGTTCATGAGTTTATCAAACATAGCGGTACAAAATGTCCTATAAAGCATCTACAAGTGTATTGTAATAAAATGATCGAGGTAGCCCTTTGCGATAAAGTTTTTATCAATTTTTTTATGAGAGATTAAATGACACAACGTTGAGTTGATACATGTGTCTGGATCAAAATCTAGAGGTGGAAGGAGTTAACAAATGCTTTCATAAAATCAATACAAGGTTAAAATGGAGGTGGCTTCATACCAATCTAGTTTGCAATATATATATAAGGACCTAAAGAATCCATCAAAAAGTATGACTAAATGTGGCTTGAAGTGACCATATCAACCTTTCTCTATCTAAAAATAAAATAATCTTCATCTTTATGAATACTTTCAAGGCTTCTTACTTTAGATTTATGATTTTCAATGCTTTAAATCAATTCTTATACATGGTGGTTATAATTGACAGACTTAAAAAAGCTTTAAAAGAAGAGAAGACGCAAGATGTTATAATACAATCATAAATTTTTAAAGAAAATACAATTGAAATGAACATGCAAGTTAATAGAAGGCCAAAAACCTTAGTCATACCATCCTAATTTTTCTTATGAAACACCTCAATTTGTAAATAATAGTGCATCCCTTTTACCCCCATAACAAGCTACATTCTACTATAAAATTAAATACCTTCATCATTTTTACTATGCTCTGAATATCATACATAAGATCTAAATCATAAAAGAAAAAAACAATGAATAATTATCTCTCTTTAAGTTCTTCTCATTAACATTTTATCGGCACCTTATAATGCTTGTCAAATAATATCTTTATCATTAAAACTCATCTAACCACATTATCTAAATGATATAATAAAAATGCTAAAAGTAAGTATAATGTAAGAGCCTTAGGTTATTCCATTAATCATCTTCAAAGGTCAAGAAGGATGATTATCATTTGAAAACAAAAATAATAAAAATTATATAATCATCAAAACATTTAGAATCAAATGAAAAAGACAATCAAGATATATGTTAAGTGAATTATGCAATTGACGCATGAATAAAGAGGTGTAGTTTGGCTTTTGATAAAATCAATCATGACTATTAAGAAATGAGTGCATGTTGTAAATATTTAAAACTTTTTTTTTAATGTTTTAGAATAACATTGCATCTTTTTATCTTATAAGTTTTGAAATCAATAAATATTTATGTTAAAGTAATATTTGGAATTTTATTTTTATTCATAATGGAAGTACAAAGATAATTTTATTTAATTTTTTAAAAATTAATCAAATTCCAATACATGTCATATAAATATTAAATGAAAAATCCCTTTTAAAATGAAAAGATAAAGGGACTTAGTTTTTTATACTCCAAAATAACAAAAAATAAAATAAAATTGTTCTAAGACATATCAAGTCACTATTGATTTGTGATTCACTAATACTCTACAATTTATTAAAATAAAAAAAATATAAAAAAATTAAAATAATCATGTCATATTATTATATTTTTATTTTGTTAAATTTATTTTTAATGAACGAGAAAAAAAACTAAAGGAACTTATATACATTAAATTTGTTAATTTTGTTTGCAAGTCATGTTAAATATACATTAAATGTGATTGCAAGCAATTTTAGTTTTTTTTATTGTTAGTTTAAATATTAATTTTTAAGAAAACAATTAATAAATTTTTTATTGATTTGTTAGTGATTCGTTACAATAGTGGATTAAAAATCTATTTTACCTAAAAAAATGATATATTAGAAGTAATCAAGAAAGATTTTATTTTGATACTTTATGAAATAATTACTTTGTATAAACGCAGATATTATTTGTCGGTAATAAAGTTAAATTAATCAATTTGATAAACACTTCATTTTAAAAGAAATATTGAAAAGTAAAATTAAAAGACTTGTTATTAATCAGACTTCCTAGCATGTGAAAAGTCAAAGGAAATAGTAAAGGTAAATACAAAATATTGACCTTTTACATTTTATATTTTAGTAAATAGAAATGATTCTTTCTCGCCATTGAAATTATTTTAAAAGATATCGTAAGAAATAAGAAAAAGAAAAACGAAAGCGGAGATAATAATAAATCTCAGTTAAATTCGGCTCACAAATATTTACAAAAATAAAGAAGCGAAGAAGAGTGGTGTTTTGATTTCCCTCCAGTTCAGAAATGGCCATTTTCTCTCCTTCATCCGCATACCCTAAACCACTACCATTTCCATCCCAAAACCCCTTTCCTCTCCCTTTCTCTATCCATTCCCTACGTCTCTCACTTCCTCCTTCGCCGCCCTGCACGAGTCCCACCAATCGGCTCCGCCGTTGCCGCGCCGCGTTATCTCCCCTGCCGCCGCCTCAGTCCGACCCTCCTCCCGGAAAAGACCCCCAAGGTTCCGATTCTGAATCATACTATATCATCATCATCATCATCATCATCATCATATATCGTTGTGAATTTTGAGCTTGTTGAATTATTTGCCTGATTAAATTTAATGCTAGAATATGTGTTTATAAAACTGAGAATAGTTCTTTTTAGCTGTGAATATGTGACTTAATGTTAGTTAAAATGATCCAAGGATTGTAGCAGCTCTAGGGGCCTGTTTGGCAACTGGGATTGATGTTTGAATAAACCCTTACCAGATCACTTATTACTTGTTACGCACCGAAAGAAGTGGTGTTTCTCAAGCCCTAATATTACTGTCCTAATTTCTCAACTGAAACGTCCTGAATAAATTTTTGAATAAACAATCTTAACTCTATTCTGAAAAATAAGCTACAAAGTTATTTAAATAATGTCTAAACTCACCTAGCTAATTACAACTAAATCAAGTAAAAATCTGAAACCTAACTAGGAAAGGAATTCAAAAATAATTAGGAAAATAAAGAAAAATCCCAAATATCTTCTGGGCCTATTTGGGCAGGTTCTTGACCATGGCCAGCCAACTCAATAGAAAACAGAGTCCGTATAACACTAGCAAAACTTCAGTTTGATCTAACGCTTGCATAAAATTATGCCTGTTTTCATTAGAAAGGTCACTTGATGCGTCAAGACTTCTTCTTGGACTTGGACTTGTCAATACGTGTCTCATGTGATGCTTCTTCACTTGAGAAAAACTCACTCATTCTCGAGTTCATGATAAAAAAATGAACTCTTCCATTCCAAAAAAATAGATGCTTCAAATATACCATTGTATTTAGTTTAATGATAGTTTCATCCTTTGACTTGGCATCAATTGATGACTTTCATTTGGAAAGAGATGGTTTATGGACCTCTACCAGTCCATGCTCTTCTTCAACATCATCGATTGTTGCCTTGTTGATTTCTTGAGCTTCATCTCTTCTTTTTTTTTCTTTTGCTTTGAAAGCTGAATTTGGTTGTCATGTTTCTTCTTAAGATCCAGAATTGTGCTTTATGAGTTTTTAATTTCTAGGCATTAATATCTTGCAATGTTTGCCCATTAGAACTAAAAGATTTTCAACTTTAGTCTTTATATATTTGGTGGCTTTCATTAGTTGTTTCTTCATCAAGGGTTATCCGGTCACAATTCTTGGCACCCCCTTTTCCTCCTTGACCTATTGTTTAACCTGCATGGTTAACTCTCCATTTGCGACTTCTTTATGATGGTTTTAATTGCATCAACTATTTTCTCATTCTGGTGTTCCATTGCCACCTAATCAGTTACAGTTACTATTAGCTATGCAAGCTTTTCTTCTTTGCAAGGCATCCTTGCGGGTTTGTAATAGCTCTCCTCTACATTTTTCCTTTTTAGTATTTGAGAAGGTTGAACAAAAAGCAAGTAATAACAATTTATTTGCTTGAAGGCCTGGTATAAATTCTTTTTGTGATCATCTTGCACAAACTTCAAAGTTAACAATTTTTTCATTGTTTGCTATAATGGAATTACAAGCTTGTCAACACAAACTCTATCATCTAGAATATAGGACCACCAATCTTTGGCTTCATAAGCAAGTTTATGTATTGCAAATCCTACCTTCTAATAACTAGGAGTTTTCTTCAATAGGAAAACATGCTTTTAACTTCGACAACCATCTAAAAATCTTTTATTTTAAAAAATCCCCATCAAATAAAGTAATTTCATAGCAATTAGAACACATCTACAAAAAAGTTGATTGTGAGTTAAGCCTTCAATGCTTTTCCCATCATAAACACCACTCTCCATATAGTCATAATGCCTATATTGGTTTGTAGGAATAGATTTTGGGTTTGGTTTGTCCTGAGGTAAGTCTCTAAGCACATTCCTATCCTCATCACAACCTTGTTTGTGTCTCCCTTTGGTAGTTAATCCAATCGATCAAATCTTTGCAATGGGGTTCTCCGTGATAGCTTTCAAACTATCGCAGTCACAATGTCCTAGATGGCCACCACTCTTTCATCATAGGGTGGGAAGATGTTGTCAACATTTCTGTCCATTAAACATGTCAACCTGCTACGATACCAATTGACACAGTGTATATTGAAAGAAACTAACGTTTCTCAAGTCTTAAGGTTACAACTATATACTGTAAACTAAAAAGTTTTGAATAAATTTCTAAATAATCAATCTTCTATTAAAAAAAAAAACAATTTAAATAGTGGCCAAACTTAATTGGCTAATCAACACCATATCAAATTAAAATTCTAAAACCTAACTAAGAAAAGGAATCTAAAAATAATGAGTAAAATAAAGAAAAATCTCGAACATCTTTTGGATTTGATTTGGGTTGTTCCTTACCTTGGTTGCCACTAGCCAACTGATGTCCTAAGGAATAAGGCCTGTAGAACACTCTGATAAAATTGTACCCTAATTCAAATAAAAAATCATGTCTGTTTTCAATTAAAAAAAGGTCGTTTAACATGTTCAAACTTCTTCTTGGACTTGGACTTAGTCTTGTCAATGTGTTTCCCGTGTTAATTTAACAAATGGAGTTTCCAAATGATTTTTAAGGAAGTTTCCAAATGATTTGTAAGGTTTGCGAGAATTGTTATTAACTAGAAAGAAGGATGATTTTCGGATTTAGGAATTCATGAATGGAGAATTTGGATACGATCCTTTAATGAGTTGTTTGAGAATGTTATGGTACGCTTCTAAATTTCCTCTCAGATGCAGAATTTGGTTATATCATAAAGCTTCCAGAGAGTGTTGGCAAGTGATGTAGAAGCTTTTTTGGAAAAATAAATATTTTTCATAGTTATTTTTATTTAGTTTAAGAATTTTATTTTTTCCTACTTAAATGGAATAATTTTTTTATTTTTTCATTCAGTTTTATTAGGGTTTTCTATTTTTCCTAAATAAAGAAATGTTATCACTTTTTAGCAAGTGAGGATGGATAAAACATCAAGTATTTTAGGAGTCTCTCCATAGTTATTGAGGGTTGTGACTTGTAACAAACCTCGTGGTCTTTAAGGGTTTTTTGACTTGTACCAAACTTTGTTAGTCTTTAAGGGTTTTGACCTTTAATAAAACTTGTTTATCTTTTGTTTGTGTCAGTTGGTATCAAGACCCAACAATTTCTGATGTGTTATTAAATCACTATGGTTGGAGGTCGCACAGGACCACGTTCATGGTAGAGAAAGAAAGTTTTCTACTAATGAGGTTTTGTCTGAAGAATGATGTATTGGAAGTTTTCATGATGGAGGATGGTTTTTGACTAATGAGGTTTTGCCTTGTTGATAAGGTTGTGAAAACTTCAGGATTGGATTGGGCTGAACTGTGTGAGCTTGAATGTAGGCTGTCTGTAGGTTTAGTTGTTCCTGTAAAAACAAATGACCTTCCAATGCTTGCTTAAGTTAGCAAATATTGGAGGCAAAAATAATGTATAGGAGAAAGAGAAATAGAATGAAGATAGTTGGTATTGTGTGAATGAATGAATTGGTATAAAGTTTTTGAAATAACCTGGATGGCCTGAATGTTTATGTTTACATGATGATTTAATGTATTTATAGATCTTAATCACAGTAGTTTACCTCATTGAGAGTAGTGTAATGATGGAGAATACTTGAAAAGTTAAGTTATTGGTTGTTGTGCTTGTTTTGACTTTGGTGAAAAATATTGATGCTTCCTTTGTCATTGATGGAGAAGTTGTTGCTTTTTTATGCTATTGGTGGAGAGGTTGGTGCCCCTCCTCTACATAGAGAATTTGTGTGCATCACAAACTCTAGTGGGTGGTTTAGTGGTGTGTACCGGTGGGTGGTGGTAGGTGCTTGCTCTAACTTCTCAAAACTCAAAGGATATGATGTGTGCTTGTGCAGGGGTATTGGGTCAAGGCCTAAAAATATCACGGTTAGCCTATCAAGCTTAGAAGGTGTCATGGTAAGGTGTTTGACTGTTGGGGGTTGGTCTGAACGGCTAGGGTGTATGGCCATTCCAGTTTTGAGACTAGGGATATATGTTTTTTTTTTTTTTTCAATTTTTGCACACCATTAACCGTGAACAATTTGAACTCGAAAATGATTTCCTTTCAATCTAGGGAAACTGATGGAAAAGCTTTTTTAAAAAAATAAATATTTTTTAGTTATGTTTTTATTCAGTTTAAAAATTTTATTTTTCCTATTTAAAGTGAATAATTTTTCTGTTTTTTATTTTTCTATTCATATTGTTAAGGTTCTCTAGTTTTACTATATAAAGTGATGTAATAGCCTTTTGACAAGTGAGATTTGGATGAATAAAAAAAATATTTTGGGAGTTTTTTCATGGTTTTGGTGTTCTTAGTCTATGAGAGTTTTGCTTGTAATAAACCCATGGTCTTTGAGAGTTTTGATAACCTCCATAGCTTTTTATAGTCATCTTGGTAGCCCATAGTAGTTAATTATGTTCAAGCATTACCATCAAGAGTAGTAATGACTAATGCTTCCGATACACTATTTGTTAGGTTTCCCATCTCATGAGACCATATGTGCCACTTGTGGTTCCCTAGAGCTTGTTCCCGAAGTTATGTGCCACTTGTGGTTCCCTAGAGCTTGTTCCCGAAGTTGTATGGTGGTGATGAGTTTTTGGATGGTCAGGGCACGTTTCATCCTGCTTAATATTCTTGATATCGAGAATTTGTTGGTGATAGCTATATTACTTAATTGTTTAGGTTGGTAAATTCAACCTGTGAATCTATCTCTCTGTAGAAGAAAGTATTAATTTAGTTGATTGCTATTTTTTATTTGCTTGGGCTCTTAGGAAATTTATTGCATCGCAGGTATTGCAGCAACTCTCTCTCGGCTGCAGGATCGTGTTCAGATCTTCTTAGCTGTTCTTTTTTGGATGTCTCTGTTCTTCTGGGCTTCTGTATGGGATGGAAAGAATAATGGTAGGGGTAGATTGAACAAGGGATCTCGGTTTAAAAGATGATGTAGTGAGCATTTTTTTCTTGTATATATGTATGTAAGAGTGTTAAGAGGAGTAGTGGTAGATCACACGTTGCTATAATTCATCATTTGCGGATGGAGGTGGTTATCATTCATATCCTCGTTTCCATTTATTTTTGTTACTTGTGCCTGGAAATACAGAATAAAGCAATTTGAAATGAAATGATCATATTTACGTTCAGAAATAAATTCAGAGGGGTTTTCTACTGTTGTGAGAGCTGTTTCTGCGATACAGAATAGCGTCGTACAATGCAGAGGA